GCTAGACAACAGATTCTTAATAAGCAACAATTTAACAGTAAAAGAGGAACGGTGTTTTCTGTGTGGTCCTTGCCGAGAAGTTGTAACCAGATCACTTGGCGCAATCAGTGAGTTGTGGGATATTCACCAGACGGTAAGGACGTAAGCAGAGGTCATTGTCAGGATCCGTTAAAAGGAAATGACTAGTAAATATATATAAGAATTTATGTGCTCTGCAGTCACAGAGATCTATAAAGTGCGTAAACCAGTGAGGCTGTTATAGTTACGTGTATAAGTGGTCATCAAATTGAGCCACCAATTCAAACCCCCGTCTACAGTCACTCTCTCAAGTAACGATATATATATATATATATATACTGAATAAAATTAATAATTTTAAAATTANTCCTTACAAACAGCATTAACAGCTGAAGCGCATTTAGCAGAAGCTCCATGCTTGCTACGAGAGCAGACATTGCCCAAAGGAAAGTCTCTGATATAACAAGCATGAACTCGAAGACCGATAATTTAGAACCAAGGTGAACATGAACAAGGAAATGCGTCGAGTTAATGCGTACTTCCCATCGTCTAAGATGTTAAACATTAACTTCTCTAAACCACACCAGAACGGTAATGGACTTGGAGAAAGAAATAGGAGAGTTTACTTTTTCAACCTACATAGCTTATTTAAAAAAAAAAACAAAATAGGCTTATGATATCCCCTAATATTTGTTGGATGGCTTAAGAGTTCACCTTACTCTCTGTGTGTGTCCCCCTTCAATCATTAATTGGCAACAAGCCATCTGTGTATCTGTGTCTCCCCGCTAATTCTTTCGTTTTATATACGGTCCCTGTTGTATAAAGGAAAATAGATAATGACCTCTTCCTAGAAGCTTCTTGTATGGGGGCACGCGGTAGCGTAGTTTGTTGAGGCACTACGCTACAAGCCGGAAGGTCGCGGGTTTGTGTCCCAATGGGGTGGATTTTTTTCAATTGACCTAATTCTTCCAACCGCAATTTGTCTCTGGGGTCGACCCAGCTTCTGACAAAAATGAGTACCAGGAATCTACCTGGGAGTAAAGGGCGGCAGGCGCGTAAGGCTGACAACCTCACCCCGTCATGTGAGCCGACTGTCTAGAAAATGTGGGAGCCTCAACGTGTGACAACACTATGGGCCTCCATGGCCTGTTACATGGATAGCTTTACCTTTTAGAACTTTAGAACTTCTTGTATACAATACAGGAATTTCAGCTCATAAATTATGGATCATAGCGGACAGACAGGAGAAACAAGCGAAGTTGATATTTGATAGTCTCATGGCTGTATGGCTCGTACTCTTACAGTAGTGTAGGGTGTGACGTCGTGCAGTTTGTTAGAATAACCCAAAGCCCTGAAGATAGAGAAAGCAAGTTTCTCCGAAACGGTGTTAACCACTTACCAAACTACAGAGGTCTCAGATGACCACGATTATAACCTTGATAATTAAATTATCTGGAAATATTTTAAGTTCACAGGCTTGCTTCGGATGTTGAGCGTAATTGAACTATGTTATGTTTCGGGGCATGCACGGACAGAGAGAGACTTGGTATTTCAGTTCTGTGCTCATCCTATGCTTTCAGTGTAAATAATTCACAAAAGCTCCAAACTGAACCTTGAGCATTTTTCAGCTAGCGTCCTGTCCTCTGAACATATGGTTCAGAATTTTTTTCAGTGGCTCTTCCAGCCCAGTCAGGGCCCTGGCTTCTTATTCAGTTCCGTAATCATTTTTCACAAACGGCAGGACTCCTTGGACGGGTGATGAGCCCGTCGCAAGGCCTCTATCTAAACACAGGAAAACACAAACACAAATATACGCATACACACCCACTAAACATCCGTGCCTTGAATGGGGTTCGAGCCCACGATCCCGGCGTTCGAGCGAGCGAAAACAGTTCATACGTTACACAGCTCGATTACCGTGACCGGTATATAGTTCAGAATGTGCCATACTAAATACACCTTCAGAAATACACAGATGCACCAGACCCAGATGCTCTACATAGTTGGTGATATATGTGGCTTCAATGCCCTTTTCTACTTGTACGGTGCATGATGCTACACTTGACATTGTTTCGTGCTGTGTGGTGAATTATCGGATAAAGAAGAACAAGTCGCATATTTTGTTGGTGTGTCGCTTATTAAAAAAAAGCGAAAATGAGACGGTGTCGTGTTTCGTGGTTGTTTGTAATAACACTTCAACAAAGAGGAATGATATGCTTCGGGCGGAATTTTCTTCTTAACGTGTTTCATATACCTCTGAGATTATCGGACATAATAAACATTTATAAATTCACATATGGCAACATTTCAAACGGAATACAGGCGGAATTCTTACTTACGAAAATTTCGTATTTATAAACATTGTACGGCCCAATAAACTGCGGCTCCAAATTAACTTAACTAATACAGAACCATGAGTTTACGAGCAACAAAAACAAACAAATAAACTCCGTGGTTTTCGTCCGCAAGCGAACTATACCGACCGAGCGACCGCCGCTTGTCGGTGAAGTTAGTGCCAAATTTAGCTGATAGAAGGTGTCACTTGGCCAGCGCAACGAATCCCCACGGCCGTTAATTTCGGTTTTCTAGACCGGAGCCGCTATTTCCTTGAAGTAGCTCCTCAATTATCCTCACGAGACTGAGTGGACCCCGTTTCAGATCCACTACTTCTCAGAAAATCTGATAGAGCCGAAAATCAAACCCAGACCTCTGGATCTATAGTCAGAATATCTGACCACTAGACCACAGAAGCGGTCACGAGCTATTTTAACGAACTGACATTAACAAATCTAATGAAAAAAATAAATTCAAGGTAAGAAAATTCAACTCACAAACATACTTCGAATAATACATTGTTTTCGTCAGCTGGGGTTCGCCTGTAAGTATCACGCAACGCCATTATTTTACAGTTCATCGTTGGTTTGCGAAAGAGAGGCATTCACCATATCCGTGTGCATGTATACCCGTTGCTAGGCACCGACAGCGAGATAAACAATTATACAACAGCCGTCGCTAAGTAACGGTTCTCTAAACAACGGTCGTTGCTATGCAACTGTTCAGTAGCGATCACGTGAGCATCCAAACAGACATGAACGCAACAGTAGAAATAACAACAGAAGAGCAATATCTTTCTGAGGGGCCCGTGCCGATATGTTATAAGCAGGGCAGTTGGAGCAACGCCGAGTTACTTATGTGACAGTCGCCTGGAAGACTCTTCATGTCCACCTCTCTGAGAACCTCAAATTCTATGAAATTTTCCTTCTTGCTACCTGCTTCAAGCTTCTCCTTCGGCCCTAAATATAGAGGCATCGTAATCCTCAGAAATGTCGACTCACCTTCAACGTCTTACACAGCGTTCTACCCCATTACATAAAACCCTTCATAACCACCTCTGTAAGAATTTCAAGTCCTAGATATTCTCGTGTTTATATTACTTAAAAGGGCCTAGCTGATATTTAACTACAAATTCGAGACACAAATTTTAGTCTCGATTGTCAATAAATTTAAACCCCTAATTAATCATAAAGCTATTGAGTAAATTCTGTATTCAGTCGTGAGGCACTAGAAAACTATCAGTTATTTGCAGCATAGAGAAATGTGTTGTGATGCTTTGACAGTGCTGTACCGAAAGCTTCCATCTAACGGATGCTTCTATCTCGCTGGACAGCAGGAAACTGAGATAACGGCGCACATTTTCAAGCAAAACTTTGCTCATATCACAGGTGGATTTAATACGGCCTGAGCGATATGAAGAGCGGATATGATATCTACCCCATCCTGCTCTAAGTGGTCAGTTACCCACCGCATGACCAAAGTTTCCCCCAAAACACAACTTAAGGAAATTTGACCCCTTTAGCTAGATGGCAAACTGTGTTACGAGCCTGGAACTACTAGTAAGTTATAATGAATGATGATATGAAATTTTGCGCCCACAAAACGTGTCTCATACGTACAGGCGTTGAGTTTATGATTAAGAACGGCAGCTAAATCTGCATGCAGAGCAATTCGGTGAATGCAAGGATCTGTACAGGATGAAATTTACTTCATATTAAGTAGGGTAATATCATCTTATGTCTCAGGTCTGTAATATTTGCCGTTTTATTGCACACATAACCTCACTCTGTCTGACTTTCTGACTTGACTGATTCAACAGCCGGTTTGTTACCTATTCGACCTACAGACAAACGACAAATTGTACTGTCACATGATTCCATAAAAGAATGAATGGAAGACAGGCATTTATAATTAATTAATTAATTAATTAAAATCTTAACGTATGGTTAAAGGAATTGCTTTACTGACTGTTTCTTAAATTGGTTTAGTAAACTGCTTCCAAAAATGGTTATATAGCGTCAAAAAAGCGGGAAGATGACCAAGAATGTTAGCACGTCGAGAATGTGAGGAAGGCATCTGTGGGCCTATTCGAAGTTACTGTGCCATCATCTGCGTACAGACTGAGCAAAAACATGAAATATCACAATACCCATGGTCGATAACCTCACTGAGAATTGAAGCAGTATTTTCAGAATAGATTAACTGCTTGTCTTTCGTCAGACACAGAAAGTCACTGGAAAAGGTGGAATGAACATGTCAAATCGTAACAAGCATGACTGCCTACACCATGAAGTTAATAATAATACTGACCAGGTATGACCTAGTCCATGAAGATGATATTAATAATAATACACAATATTCTATTATATTCATTGATAGTTCCAGTGACTCACGATTGTGGATGTTTCTTAACAAATTAGTCTGAAATAAAATAACCTTATTTCAGGGGTGATGATTGCCTTACGAAACGTGTGACTGAAGGAAAACAATAAAGTCAAACCAAAGCAGACTGGAGGCTTCTAAGTTCCAACTGACAGAAACTTCGAGGCAGTAGTGGATAGTAACAACAGACATGAAGAAGGCTAGAATGATGTGAGCTCGATTTGTAAGCAGAGGGTGGCATGAGCGTGACAGTGAGGCCAGCTTACCTGTCATTCTCTTGTAACTACGCTTAGATGTCTCCATACACTTCGCAAGTTCTGCCCGTTCGGGTACCTGCAAGCAATGTTATATTTCTGGACATTATCTAGCGTCCTGTGCCGTCGCCACGAACTTCTATATCTTATTTACTCAACTTTATGCTCGCTTTTCAGGAGTGGCTTATGTTTATACAAAATGTACTAATGATCTGAAAACAAGGTTCGACTCAAAAATATGTGGTAGAATAGAGCTCTCAGCTGGTGTTTGTTCAAAATAACCCGTTCGGAAAATTCTGTATATCTAATCGTACAAAATTTAATTACTTTAATTACTTAACCAATCATAATGAAAATTCAATGGTAAATATTTATGTAAAAATTTCATGGAAATCGATTTAAGATCTAATAAAAATTTTCAGGAACACGTGCTGGTAAACTTGAGAAATGGTGGTATTCGATTATAATATTTAATTTTCAAATAAAAATGTCGATTATTCAACATATTTTGGAAAATTAGAAGCATTTTATTACAATCAGCTTCGACGTGAATAAATAGATATAAATATATCGGTACATTATTAACCAACTGAAAATGAAAAGACATGTATCATTGTTAATAATATGACGGAATAAAAAATCGAGTTAAGAGAGCTTTGATAACTTATCACTTCAGTCGTAACACCCGCTTACATTTCAATTTAGCGTAATTTCAAATATTCCTCTGATTCTAATCAACTACTTCTCTATGTGAATAACGAAGAATAACTTCAATTTCCGAATAATTACTTTTATAAATTTGAACTCTTAATCTTACATACTAGTCTCTAGTTCAGAACAAACATTATTTGTTCCTAACATTCTCCTGTCCACACACACACACACACACACACACGCACGTCCATGCACGTAAACACACACAAATACACGCACGTGACATGTAGTAACTAAAACAGTCGGTACAGAAAGGGAGACCTTACTAATTTCTTTTTGATTTGGCCCATTCTACAATAATTGAAAATTCTGTATGAGATCACGAGTGTAAAGAGAGATCTGTTGATGGAAGATAACATTTTACAAAATTTTGTAATATCCAATCACCTCCTCACATATCGTATCCAGCAGCGGTGTCGCTCTAGCTCAGAAATCTGTCGGAAACTGCTGACTTCAGTTCTCACATTTAACGAGCTGCAGACTATAAAATGCTGCGCCAGAAATTTCTTTAAACGGCTCTGACACATCAGATGGTTCAATCAGGGTTTCATATCCTCAGATGTACGGGCAATCAAGGGGGAAGGGGGATGCCATTTTAATAATAAGCTGAACATGGAGAATTTCTATAAGAGCACAACTCGCGACTTTGTCAGAGCTAAACCTCAGGCGTATGTAGTTCACTTATTGAGTGGCTGAGTGATTCTTAGATCGCTTAATGACACTGTTTCAACTACCACTGTGCTCAATGTGATTGGAACGTGATACAGAGTGGTGATGAGCAGTCTGGAAGGTGGCGGTTGCTGGTTGTCAGACGATGCTCTCCACAGATTCATCTGAAGAGACAGTAGACACACGAGTTACCTTTGTCCGAATAAAGAGAGTCCCAGCCAGAATTCGAACTATGTGCTTCCCGAAAGTAAGTCTGAAACATAGGCTCCGGATAATATAATCTGGTGTTGAGTAATATCCCAAATGCTGCAACGATGATATATTTAATCCTAGCAATTACGAGGGAGAGTCAGTAAATAAGTCACAAATGGAAGTCAAACAGCTATAACGAACTTAATGGATTTCCTTTTAAGTGTATCACTAGGTAACTGCACAGTCTAGCTTCATGACAATCTAGGTAACAGACGTGCATGCCCATGTTCAGAGGCTGGTTTCAGTAGTCAAAATGGCGACAAGATTTGAGGAGTGTATTGCGAAAGTGTAGCTTTCTCTTGTGCGTTTTTTGTGGGCAGAAGGGCTCAATTCAAAGGATATTCGTAAAAAAAAAAAATCTTATTTACGGCGGGCAGTGTTTCTAGCGTAAAGCTGTTCATAGCTGGGTGGCAAATATGTCGCTGATGACGAAAAGGTTCAAACGAGGGCGCGGAAATGCTGAGACAAGAGTAAACAGATTTCTATGTTGCGGGTTTGGACGCACTTGTAAAGGGTTGGGACAATTGTATCAATGTTGGTGGAGGATATGTAGAGAAATGTTTTCTTTTTCAAGTTTTAAGATTTATACCTAGTTGTGACCTATTTACTGACTCCCTCGCATATGCATTGGCTTCTAGCATATGTTCAGGATTGAATAAATCTTACAGCATTTCAGTTTTTATAATAAAATAATCACAGGATATTTAGTCATATCATAGACAAGAGACGTTTTTTTTTTTCGGTCGATTTCGTCTAACGGTCCACAAGTCTCCTAATTCCATTAGAGTAAAATGTTTTTGGTGGAATGTTAATCCAGTCTTCAACCGCATTTTCCATTAGCAAAGCCCATTCGAGATATGTCTTCAACATGGCTGAATCTAACGCTGTTCCGGATATGCTCCCTGATCTGCTCCTAAACCTTAACATGTGTTGTAATCGACTGTCGTCAAGAACATGTACATGATGTATCATTAGTACTCATCCGTCCTCCTTTGAACCTTCACCCCCAATCATAAACTTCTGTCTGGTCCATGGTTACATCCAGAGGTTCTGAATGTCCTTCTACAAACATTTCTTTGTTCTTGAATCCTCTTGATAAAAAAGGGGGATCACAGCTCCTTGTTGATTTTTCGTCCTCTTTATCAACAGAGAAATCTAGTTAATATGTAGCGTTGTCATTAATCAAAATACATGTGTGAGAACCAATTAGGAGAATATACGAATAATTTTCACAATTTTTATACCCATAAATTTTCAGTGTTGCCATTATCAATTTAGGCAAACCAAAATGACTCTAAATTCTTTAAGTTTCCCCGTGTAGTATGTGTGTCTTTTTAATTTACATGTTACTTGAATTGTCAGTTTTTTCTACAGGGATTTCCTACAAACTGTGCATGTGACCAATGTCCCGTTTTTTGAGCGAGGTATTCCGTAATGCTGACAAAGATGACACTGGATAGCAAATAATTCCGCTGTTGCCAACATTGCCATTTTATTTACAAGTTACATAACAATTTCATCTTCTGCTTTTCGTAAGTGGCTCTTCGTAACTGGCCACGTGTTTGTGATTCGCATGCGCACTGAGCCTGGGTGCAGTGACTAAACAGTCTCGAGCGTCGAATTGTCGGTTTTTTAATGCTTCATTGTTTCGTTATACGAGTTTTTCTTGGAGAGTAATTTTCTACATCATTACAAAAGAAACTGACGATATGTCATGCTATGAAGTGGCAGAACGACTTGGTGCTACACCAAATAAAATGAGAAGAAGATCAGATATGAATTCCCGCACCTCAAAGCTCGTATCTTTATTAGCAGATTCTGAAGATTATTATAGAAGTGAATAGTTCGCCGAATTAGCGAATTTCTTTTATAATACATTTCTATTGTGTTTAGGAAATGAAGTAACGGCCGTAAATTACTGCAAGAAAATCGTTCGTCCTGGAGGCACAAAATGTCTGTCCAAGAGAGACAACCAATTCCTTAATCACGAATTGGAATTGTGTGGCAGACGAGCGCCAAATTTAAAAAATTCATACAAATATTAAGAACTTTACCTTCTGAAATATAAGGCCATTTACTCCGCCGAAAGTCAATAGACTGCTTGCTATTTGTTTCACGCTGGTTTCTTCTTTGGTTTATTCTTCTACCCTGAAGACTGAGGGGACATGTTCCTCCGATAGGTCGGCTGACTTCCAAAAGAATACAAGACGTAATATCCCAGAAGATGTAACAAGAGCTGTGAATACCTAAAATCCTACAATCTGTACAAATTTGTTTCCAGTATATTTTCCAAATATGTCTCTCTTTTGGTTTTAGTTTTTAAAATCTTGTCGTCCTAACCTATACACACACCCACACCGATATACGTGGAATGTCTGCTGAAAGCCAAAATTCTGAAACCAGCAGAGAAAGCCGTTGACATGAAAAGGCTCTTCAAACACGCCCGGTAAACGTCACATGAACCGTGCCATAGCTCAGGCGGTTAGTCGCCGGCCTCCCACCGCGGCGACCCGGGTTCCAGCCAGGGTCAGGACATATGGGGTTTGTGGTGGACAAAGAAACACCAGGGTAGGTTTTCTCCGAGTACTTCGATTTCTCCTGCCAATTATCATTCCACCAATGGCTCCATACTCATCTATCATCCGGGTCTGGTACAAAAGGCCAATTAGTGGCCGACGTACCAAGTGAACTAAGTCTCAATCCCTATCAAGGAAACGTCACGTGATCGGGACCACGTTTATCTATTTAACAACAGAAGATCTGTTGGAAGCGGTATTTTCAGTACGGTCCATGCCTAGGTTATACACGTATAACTCGGACCCTGAGAGCCGCACAGTATCCATAGCGACCTGGACGCCGTGATAGCGCGGACGTTCTAGTGCTGAAATTACGATGCAACAAGCGTAGCGCCTACACAGAAAGACCGACCTCTCCTTCGTCGCAGAGGAGGCCCCATTTCGAAACACGTACATGTCTATGAGACAGTAAAACCTTGGTTATGTATCTCGAGGAGACTGAAGCCAGGAATGGCTGTGCTGGCGAAAGCCAGCAGCAATTTAACCGACCGACCATAGTCAGTTGCGAGAGTGACGCCAGCCAGCAAGGACAGGAGCAGTAGAACACGGAAGCTGAGGGGCTACCAGGCGGCAACCGGTGAAGACACAGCAAACTGAGAACGCTTAGTGCGTGCTGTACTGAATTCTAGAGTGTATGAATTAGAGACAGCTCTGCAATTAATTGTAGTTGCTCTTTGTAAGACCCTAATAAATCCGATTACCAATCCAAAGCACATATCTAGTCACTTAACATGTGACAATATGCTGTTAAGCCTCTAAGCCTTCCAAAGAGATACAAGGAGACTCGAAGGTTTTTTATTAGAACTAAGAATTTTTTACACTAATTTACTTGGGGCGGAAAGGATTTTAATTTCAATCGAAACTACTC